AGATGTCTTCTGCATAAAATCTCACTCACTTTCTCAATTTTAATTATATTTTCTTTAATTTGCTTTCATTAGGCTGGCATAACCACTGATTCATGATTCTGTTTTTCCAGCATCTAATGAGAAAACCAGTTTCTTCTCAAAATTCTGATTTAGCAAGCTGACCTGTGCAGGCAGATCCCACCATCCATGGAAATATATGGAGATATTTATGTATGTACGTGGTTATACAGAGGTATACCTATAAATAAAATAACATTTTATTTCTTTTCAAATGTCCCACAGACAGTGGAAATAAATTCAGCACGAACTCTGTTATTTCAGAAAATGCAAGCATAAATTAGCTTAATACCTCTGACAGAACCTCTCCTGTGAAAAGAAACCCCTGGTTGAAACCACCACCATTAAAATTGGCATGAAATTATGATGGGAGTTGAAGGGGCTTCCTACATTGCAATCGTGTCCTCAGTACTCTGGCCAGTTCAGGGGAAAAAGAAAACAACATATTGGCCATTCAGTGCCCTTTTCTTATAAATAATGTTAAACAGAGTGCTTGTAACACATACATGAATCCATGTGTTTCCAAAAATACTTCTCTGGTCTGATATTACTCTTGATTAAATCTCATTCTGCAACCACTACCCAGCCAAGGAGTAAGAAAAAAACCAAAACAACCCAACCCACCCACAGAAAACATCTCCATTCCTTTTCCTGGTGAGGAAATAATAAAGCCTGGATATGGGGTGCTGCAGTTGAAAATACTGTTGCAAAAGACGTGTCTGTCATGAAGTGCAAAACCTCCTTTAAACCAGATGAATTGCTGTCTGTGTTTTACAGCTTCAGCCAGGAAAAGAAACAAAAACTTTTGGACGTGGATGGGTTCCTATCTTACATTGCACATCGTATCTTACAATGCATTCAACTTAAGTGCAATGTGACAGAGGTAGCAATTCCGTACAAACCTTAGACAACATTTGTATTGGTGTAAATACAGAGTAACTCCTAGGAAAAGGCTGATGCATTGCCCTGGCGACAGCCATGCAATGAGTGCACCAGGACAGGAACTCCTAATTCCGCATCCCACTCTTCCCATCACAGAACCAAGTTCTGTCCAAGGAGCTCAAATTGTAAGCAACTAACTTTTAATGGTGGGTAAATTGAAGTACACAAAATGTCGTTAATCCTGCACGATGACTTAGCAAGTTAGGAACAGAGGCCTCCTGGGCCTGTACTTCCACTTAAAACGTGTTAAAGATCTTTATAGCCTTCTCTTTCAGCCACGATAACATCCCTTCCTATATGATGTAGCAAGTTTTTAATGAAGTGTTGCTATAAAAAAATCCCACAACTATTTACCCGGTATACACAAACTAGCTAAAAGAGTTGCTCTTATAAATGAATATTTTTGACTGGTTTCACTGAAGCTGCAGGTACTCAACCATCTTACAGAATCGGATTTTACAATCCTGGATTGCAGCAGAACACAAGACAGGCAGAAGGCAGAACTCCAGTCTAGAGACTTCCACAACACTTATGGCCCGTCTCTGCTAAAATCAGTTACTCATGATATATGTCTCCATGATTTTAATAGACTTATCATTAAGAACTGTTTAGAAGAGTTAGGGTTGGAGATTTTGGTCCCTAACAAGAAGAAATGCCAGTATAGCTGATGACAAAGGGTTGAGAGGAATTATCTGAAAGCAGATGAGAATTACCCTAAGAAGCACAACTTTCAAGTCCAGAAACTGAAACTAAAAATAAAGCGATGTAGTCCATACGGTCGTATTTAAAGGTCTGCCAGCAGATCTATTTGAGAACCTGCTTTTCAATACTGGTAACTCATTCAACTGAATTTTGCTTCAGGACTAAAACACTCATAGGAAGTCATAGTATGGAAACCAATTCTATTTAAAAATATATATATATATACACATATTGCTGCTCTTATTTTCACAGCATTTCAAATAAACTTAATCAAACCTCTCTGCTCATAAGAGGCTGTAGCAATTTCTGTCAGCTTTGGCCAAGAATTACACAATCCTTAGCAATTTAAGATTTTCATCTGCAATCATAATGAAACATCCTATTCCATATGAAACTTGAAACACTAAATTCAATAAACCTTCACCATATGCGCCTTCATGGATTCTCCTGCTTTCTTTCCTCACTACTTGAACATCCCTTGTGCCTTGACTGTGTTCGGGGTGGGGGGGGGGGGGGGGAAGAGCTTGGTTTTGCCAGATCAAGGAACAGAACAAATGTCAATCTGAAAAAAAATGCTGACATGTACAGCCTGATGATGGAAGTCTTTATTGTGTGATGACTAGTTATGTGTTACCTATACCTCGAGCTAGCAGAGCTCATGCTTGATGGGGTACCCAGGACACCATAAGCACAGAGCTAAGAATGAGCTCTCTACAAAAAGTGTTGGGTGCAGTACTAGGGAGATACAGTTATATGCTTTCTGCATCCTGAGCTCAAATCTCCATTGGGGTGCTATGAACACATAAGCTTGCCTGATGATACCTCTTGGCTTTTCTCTACTGTGATATGCTGCATGGTGCACATCTGCCTTATTACATCTTATTAAAGCACTTGCTTCTGCTACTTCTGAAGCTCATTGCAACCTCAGGCTTAGGTGACCTCCAGAGGTTTGTCTCTTCACTTTTCCTGAGTCACTCTCCTGTTCCCTGAGAAAAAAGTTCTAGTATATTAATCCACAGAAGTCATTACAAGACAGCAAAGAGATCGCTTAATGATACCCTTACTTTCTCTGTAGCGGAGTAATCGTCAGCTGACTGTGTAAAGCAATGCTGTTGTGCAATTGTAAAACGGAATCACAAAGGGCTCAAAAGGTGATTCATGTTTTTAAATACACAAATCTCAAAATAAAATAAAGCAGGGGAACATTCTGACCACATACTGCCTCCTGGAAGAAGACAAAATTATAATGGAAAACTAGGGACTGAATTTTTCAGGCAATGGTGCTGATAGGTTGTAAGGAAATGAAAACAGTAGAACAGTGCAGGGGGCACTTTCGTGAGAAATGTGCAGAAGCAGAAAGGTTGTAGCAAGAAATGCAACTATCTAGTAGCACCTACATGTTTAAAACTGTCCCCAACTTTAACAGTTAGTTAAACTTCTCTTGAAATCTGAATACTTAAGGTCAGATTCCATTCTTGGTGAACCAGCATGAAGTCTAGAGGAAAAAGAGTTACTCTGCATTTACAGTTACGTAATTGGGCAAAGTCAAGGCTCATTATGCTGTCTTTAGGCTCCTCACACACTTAGCAAGTGGGGAAGGCTCCTCTTTCAATTATTTTCTGATAGGTCATTGAGAAGCAAAATCACCCCAACAGGTGGTACGTAGGGATCCTCATACTTAACTCCTTTGCTTTGTTCTTTGGATGTAAATTTTGCCCCTGTACTCGGCACTGGTGAGGCCACACCTCAAGTACTGTGTTCGGTTTTGGGCCCCTCACTACAAGAAGGACATCGAGGTGCTGGAGTGTGGCCAAAGAAGGGCAACAAAGTTGGTAAAGGGTCTAGAGAACAAGTCTTATGAGGAGCGGCTGAGGGAGCTGGGGGCTTAGTTTAGCCTGGAGAAGAGGAGGCTGAGGGGAGCCCTCATCGCTCTCTACAACTGCCTGAAAGGAGGTTGTAGCGAGGTGGCAGTCGGTCTCTTCTCCCTAGTAACAAGCAATAGGACAAGAGGAAATGGCCTCAAGCTGCACCAGGGGAAGTTTAGGTCGGGTATTAGGAAAAACTTCTTCACCGAAAGGGCTGTCAGGCGCTGGAGCAGGCTGCCCAGGGAAGGGATTGAGTCCCCATCCCTGGAGGTATTTAAAAGATGGGTAGACGTGGTGCTTGAGGACATAGTTTAGTGGTGGACTTGGCAGTGATAGGTTAACGGTTGAACTCTATCTTAAGGGTCTTTTCCAACCTTAACCTGCTGAACACCTTCCAGATGTGGCCACAGGACAAAGTCACCACATCAAGACAAACTGTATGAACAGGCTAAAGAGGAGGTTTCCTGGGGTGGCAGACTAAGAGGGGCTGGCAGAGCAGATGTGGCCCTTTTGAAAACTTTGATTATGCCAGAGCCCTGGAAAGCCTGGCAGGTTGCTGCTTTTGAGGGAAAGATTTAGGTCAGCGATATCGCTGCTGCTTCTGAGAGACAGAGAGGAGAAACCTGTTTGTCTCTGCAGTAACAGTTGCCTTCTCCACCCCTCTCAACCCTCTCGTGGCAGCAAAGGCATCCAACTTAATTCTCCAGGTCTCCTTCCGCAGATCATTGATCCAGTCCTCTCTTCCTCCTGATCCTCACCCAACTATTATCATGACAGAAACAGCTTGGCCCTGATTACTTTCCAGCCCCTCAACCTTTAGACAACAGATGGCTCTGGAGCTACTGATGTGTGAAGCATTTTCACATGCCTTAACAACTGCCTTAATTATGCAGCACTATCATTAGGACTGGACAGGTGATTTAGATGTGAGTATCTGAACCACTTCATCATCTAACGATCTAAACTGACACTCGGAACCTGGCAGCTCCAGGAACAGGGATGTTTGCTGAGATAATGTCAAGTCCTAGTTGTCAGAAACCTTACATTTTTAAAAAGCTTATATCCATGGCTGAGAAATTCCCAACCATTACTTCCAAGTGTGCAATTTCCCTGCAGGCTGGCTAAATATGATGGACAATTTAAAAAGGTGCACTTGGGACACTCTGTATTTGTCCATTAGCATTTGAAGAACTATAAACCATAACTGACATATCTGTGGACATTTATGTGTTTGCAGGCACAGTTATAGGTGCAATGGTGAAACAGGGAAAACAGTGAAACTGCGAAAGTGAGAAAATAAAACACAAGCTGCTGGGAAGACAAGGATAAATGGAATGGTAAAAAAAAAGTGGTAGAAGAAAAGAATACAACAAAGCACAAAATTTCAACAGGGTGAGCACGCTCAAGGAACATCATCCCCAGCCAAGTACTTACAAGTAATAGGAGTAGGAATATGCATTTCTTCTAAATATCGACAGCCAGTCAGATGAACAAAATATCCAAAAGGAGAAAAAGAGAAAAACACAAAATTAGATTTATGTGAACTCTAGGATTTTTTCAGTGTACAAAGTATTTGTGCTGCCTCTTGTACTGCGCTACTATTCTCCTACACTTTTTTCAGGAGCTCTACATCGGTGAGGAATGGATACTGAACTAGAGACAGGAAACAGAGGTTGTGTTTCCACTTCTGCTACTGACTTGTGTCACCATGAATAAATCCCCTCACCTCTTTCTTCCCTAACTTTGCCAGGTCAGTAACCCACATCGTGAGACTCACCGTTGCCTGTAAAGTGCTTTGAGATTTTTGGAATGGAAAGAAATATGTAAGAGCTATTAATACAAATAATAATAAATAGGAAAGTGACAATGTAAGAATACTGCAATTTTGGAATATTTAGACAATGAACGAATTGTCTAATGATAAATCAAGCTTCATCAAACTCTAAAATGCAAATAGTTCATTAACAATTTAAGCATCACTACATATTTATAGATGAACACTGGGAGTATGCATTAGCTTTCTGCGTCACTGTGATTAAGTATTTTCTATTACTGTTTTTCAATAACACACTTCAGAACATTTTGATATGTTTTTGAGCAGTGCCACAAAACGAGCCTTGGCAATCAGTTATAACTTAAGAGGTGATGCCTTCTCTTTTTTAACTGGAAAAGGGCTTCTCTGAAAAGGCTGTTCCACAACAGACCTAGCACATGTTAGTACAGATTAACAGCAAGGCACAAGGGATCTTTGAAAGCAGCAGTCAAGCATGGTCAAGACAGGGAAAAACAAGGAAACACAAACTTCAACCTATTGCACAACTTTAAAATCCCATCCTTGAAGACACTACAAATACCAGGAAGCGCTTACAAGTATAAATGCAGGGTTCAAGCATTCACTTTTATGGTCGCTCTGAACACAACTTTCATAAGCAGACATGGAAACAAGATTCAGGGCTGTCACTCTCTCTGCACAACTGCACAACCACCCTCTTTGCTATGCGCACACTGGGTAAAGGACAGCGACTTACAGACGTTCAAGAGGATCACTCTGAAATAACATTTGTTTTGTTTGGTAGTGGCCCTTGCTATAAACCTTAAATTCTGGCCAGATTCCTGATATATGCCAAGTTATTTGAATGACACCAATTCCAAGGTACGCCTGAATGTATTTATAACATAATGCTATCACCTCCTGAAACCCTGAAATTCTACACGTGACAGCAACGCACCAGTTAAGGTGCAGTGACGGCCACTGAGCTTCACTGTGAAATTTCAAGTTCCTCTGCACCTCTAAACAAAGGGAAAAATCACCAGAATGGGGAAAACGAGAGCCTACACAGCTGCAGCACCTACATCCCCAAAATTATTCCATTAATTAAACCCCTCTGATGTGCCAGTGCCAGGTTTCACACAGCACTATCAACTGTAATTGTTCTGTTAAACATCTTGCTGTACTTTCTGCTTTTCTCATGTCTCAGCCAGCAGACAAATGTGATCACACGAGACTCTTAGTTCTCATTAAAAATCTGCGTATCCTTCAAGGCTACAGAGGAAAGCTCAGAAAGATTTATTCCATAAGGACAGAAAATAAAGGAAGACAAACAAAAGGAGGATTATCTTTTGGAATTGGACAGGCCATTTTGGCTCAAATTCTCCCAAAATATACAACCTAAAATAAGGACTTCCTAAAGAATATTTCAAAACTAACTCTTAAAATTGTTCAGAGTTACAGATCACTAAAAACACAACCCAATCCTAGGATGTATCACACAACCTGAAAACCCAGCCTGTCATCCACCTTAAATATGGACACAGAAGGGACACGGGTCACTGAATGTGCCAATATCCCTACGGTAATTCTACCCCATAGCTTGGGTGTGTTCTGCTCAAGAGGCATTTAGGTTTTATTTAATTAGTTTAAGGTAACAACCTAAATCCTAATCCAGAATAAGGAGCTGAATTTTCATAGAAGGAACTAATCCTAGACCCTACATAGCCCCAAATCTCCCTTTTTGCTACCAACAGCAGTTTAAAGAACTTATTTACAGAGCACCCATGACAGCCTGTCTGATCGTATTTATTCAGTCTTCTACTTAAAGGGGTCAGTAGAGGCTTTGTCTGCTCAAATGCACAAGCCTGAAAAGTGTCACATTCTTCACTCCAGGGAAATGCAAGTCACGATTACACCGGAGTTCAAACTGTCCAGACGAAATCAGAACTGACCAAAATCTAATCCTTTTGGGGGGCAAAGTCAAAGGGTATTTTCTCCAGAAAAGAAGTTTACAAACATCATTTTTCTTGTTTCAGCTTGTTTTTACTATCCCATCCTGTATTCCCTATTACACAGAAATATTTAACTAATATTAAGGACAAACAAACAAGCTCCTTAGAGAATTAGCAATGTTTTGATACAATAAAAATTAGGTCTTTCAAGGTATGTATCTATTAATGAAAGAAAGCGGTACTGCCTTATGGAGGCAAATGCACCCATGTGGGCACTGATCACCAACTGTAAATTAATAGGCTAAATCATGTTGCAGTAACTTGTGCATCCATATACATATGATGCCATTGGAGCTGCAAACATGTAACTCACGGAGCTAGTGGATTCACAAAACCAAGAAAACAAATTTTTCTAATGGTTTTGACTTTAGATACTGTAAGACAGTCATATTTAAAACATAAATTTATATACACACAATTTTTACGTAGATATACAGATACAGAAACTTTAGCAGACTTTAAGCAACCCCAGGGTTCAACTGAAACTTTTAGATAACAAACATAAAGTCAAACCTAAATTTTCCACTGCATAAACATTCTGGCTGGCTTAATTTAGCTTCACATATCTGATTAAACCCTATAAAAAATTGGCAGTCCCCAGAAATTTGCCAGTCACTAGAGTTTTTGCAATATGGTCTATTGAAACTATGATCAACTGGGCAACACTTGCTCATACCTTGTACATGAAAGGTTCAAAAAAGTATGCTGATTTGGTGTGTCTCACAGAAACAAAAAAGCAGCTTCTGATGATCTGCCTAATCTTAATCTCAAACCAATGTCTGCCTTCTCTTCGTGTTTCTGTCTCTTCTAATCTCTCTCCTTCCTTTGCTCTTTGCACTGGTTAACAAAATGCTTCATTCAGGAAATCCACTCCTGTGCCTATTACCAACGGACTATGATGCCCTGGACCTTGAACAAACGTCACTGTGGTATTTTCCAGCCCCATTTGAAGAAAATGCCTCAAGTTTGTCCAACTAAATTATTTTTCTGCATTGTTGCCTTGCAAGACTACACTGTCTTGTACACTGAGGCATTTGCCTTAGTGAACTGAAAAGGGGAACTCTTTTTAAAGTCAGGTTAATGCAAACATTGAATGCATGAGCTTAAGCGCCTAACATTTCTGTTTGCAAAATAGAAAGAGGACTTTGTTGTTAAACTGTTCTCTCAGACAAATGTGAATTTTCAGCTGTGCTCCTCCAGAAGTTCAAATCAATCTGTGGTCCAAAGTGGCCTTTCCTTTTATAAAAGCTGATCGCAATTCACGTTAGTTTACAAATGAAACGAGCCTGGCAGGCTTAAGTTCATCTTCAGGGAACACTTGTCCATATGCAGCTCCAAGCCTCAACCAGACGTGACTGGCGGTGCCCATTCAAGGGAGACCCCAAACTGATGCAATCAGCAGGTTTGTCAGCGATGCTGGAGGTGTGCTACGCAGACCTGGAGAGAGCAAGCCTCCAAAACCTCTCTCTGCACTGTTATAGCTTCTAAGTGGGAAAAGATTTTAAAGTCAATGAGCCAGTTTATTTCTTATAATAGTGTGTATTCCAGTGGGTAACCTTGCAAATGACAGCAAACAGGCAGAGAGAGATACAGACTGCAGTGATTTTGCCTGTTTGCACTGGGTGGGGGGAACGACACAGAGGAAAACATAATTTTCCAGCTCTAGAAAGAAAAAGAGGAGAATTTATATTTCTAATACTCCTACTATCTTCCTTTCTAATTTTCATTTTGAAGAAAGGTGCTCAGATTAACAGAGCCTATGGCAAAGCCAGGTATAGCAAGTTCTGTCCATGGGACATCCCACCCAAGTTCACTAGACATTGCTGCTTTTGGGACCAGGCTAGCTCCACAGAAGAACATGGGCACTGAGTTAGGGGTCAGCTCAGGTCAGCAGGAGCTTGGGAATTTTTATGTGAAGCAAACGGATCCTCAGCCTCCAGCCTCTAGAATGTTCTCTGCTTATGAGTATTTTTGATTCTGCATCTGTCCGTGTTTCTCTGTCTATGAGATATCAACTGATATTGCACCAGTCATGACAGCCAAAACATCATAAGAATCAAATGCTGGAAAAAGCTGGATCTTGATAGATCTCCCCATCATTTACTTATCTGAGTTAAACATGCATCAGAAAAAAATTAAAGCTAAAATCCAGTGATTTTATATACCTGCTAACTAAACTATATAATACAGTCTCTAAGATTCCTCCTGACCTCTAATAAAAGTTTGTTGTGTTATGCATAAAATATGCAGAGTCCTTTTAAAAAAAAATAAAAGCAAAAAATCTGATACTCTAAATCAGCCATAAATTTTTACTTTTTCTTTGAAGTATTCCTACATATTGATAACCTGGCCTTTTGCTTGTTTTCCAGCTTCCATTGGAAGACAGAAGATTAAGCAAAGACATTGAATCATTGATATGTATCAAGACATCTCCACATCGATGCATTTATCAGAATGAGAACAACAAATATTTCTTCCACAGTGTTTGGAGAAAAAAAATTACTTGTCCATAATTCTCCCTCTGAGAAATTTCCTAACTGTTTCAAATTTATATAAAAAATAGATTGGCAGCAATCACAGGGTTTAACAGCAAGAGTCCCACATTTACATTCTAAAAGATGTGGTAGCCTGTTTGGGAATACGAGTTTGATGTGAAATCCAAAAATTTGAGAAAATACACAGACGTTACAAGTATTACCTCCTCCTTAGTATTTAAAGTATATTGCCTCTAAGAGCATCCTTACCTCTCTGACTTAGCTCTCGGCAGGCTACACAACAGAAAAATTATCCTCAAATAAAGAATTCCTGGTTGTCATGAAAAATCATTTTTTGTTTTCTCCCCAGCAATATACATGATTTATAATAATAATAATACATGGTGGGCCAGAAATGCTATCAACGTTTAATAGCTTGTGAAATACACGAGGATGTTCAGATATGGCATTACTCTGACAGTTTTCCTTACAAGTTTTACCTTTCAAGCTGAAAATAAAAGCTTTTATTAAAGAGTGTTTAGGAAGGTAACAGGAATAGATGAGGGCTGGGCATTAAACAAATCAGAAACCCAGCTCAATTTTTCCTGAAACTCTTTTTCTGCTTTTCATTGGAGGCATCCAATTTTTTTCTGCTTATGAACTGAGAAGCTCCTGGGAGACTGGAATCTGCAACATCTATGCTGTTTGGGTTTAACATCGAACAGAAGTGCAGTAGATGTGACTCCAAAACATATACACGTTTGTCCACAAAATCTGAAATTTTTGCATGCAACAGAAATTGGATTAAAAGTCTAGTTTGTCCACACCTTCAGTTAATTTGACAGGAATTCACAGTAGTCAGTACATATGTGACCGGTTTTGCAGAATGAGAACATCTGAAAAGGCTACTCAAAGGACATCTAGTTCAATGTCCTGCTTAAACCAGTTTCACTTGCAGCAAGTCCCTCAGGGCCTTGTCCAAGTCAAGTTTTTAATTTCCCCAAGGCTCCGAACTCTTTTGGTAACCCTCCTCAGGACTTGCTCTAATATATCAGTGCCTTTCTTGTACTGAGGATCCCCAAAATGGACACAGTATGCCTAGAGCGATCTCACCACTGGCAAACAAAAGGGAATAATTGCTTGCCTCAACCTGCTGGCTACACTCTTGCTAACACCGCCCAGGACGCAGTTGACCTTCTTTGCTGCAAAGCCACATTGCTGACTTGTGTTTGACTTGTCCACCAACACCTCCAGGACCTTCTCTGCAAACCTGCCTGTACTGTTGCATGGGGTTACTCCATCCCAGGTGCAAGACTTTGCTAAACTCCGTGAGGGTCCCATCAGCCCATTTCTCCAGCCTCAAGGTCCTTCTGAATAGCAGTCCTGCACTCCAGCATCTGTAGCACAGAGTTATTTCATTTGCATATGTGCTCTGGATTAAGATAGAGGAGATTTGGGAAATGTGTGACTGTTTGTCACAGAGCTAAGAGATCTCAAAGGAACAGAGCTTTGCTTGGAAAGCTTCACTCCCTGCAACACAGCAAGTAAATCAAGGCTCTCAGATGTAATGCTACCTGTACCCTAGACAAGGGGCTGCCAGGCTACCTAGCTCCTGTTTCATTTAGAATCAAATTACTGTTGAAAAGCAGTGTTCACTTCAGAAACGTGACTGGTTAAAATATACACAAAATACAACCTTTTCTCAGGAAAATCTCTTGCCTAAGTGGTTTTCTGAATCAGTATATTACACTGTAAATGTGAAGCTCTTAAAATAGTAACAACTACAATGGTCTACTTCAAAATATAAGTACAAATGGTCGAAAGAAAATCACATAAAATGAACTGTTTGAACAAATTTCATTACCATACATGATTTTTTCGAGTTTCCTTCTCCTGTAAACTAACACTAACTCTTGGAAAGATTCTAACCCTTCAGCAAGATGTAATATTCCAGCTGAATACTGGTTGCAATGAAATTGCCACGTGAAAATATGTCTCATCAAGGCTCACTTGGGAACAAGACCCTTGATCACATTATTTTATTATTTTTCTTGACTGTTAAGAAAGAATTCTTGTCTTCTATTAGACCACTGTTGTACCGCGTGCACAGGCTCACATGCCCACTTCCATTGCCTCATTATCGCTTTTTGCTTCTCCATGCGTTTTCATGCACTACCCCTTCTCATTAATTATCAATTAATTATCATTAACTCTTTATGGTAACAGCCATTCTTTTGTTGCTCGTATAGTATCTGCCAGAACAGGCATCTCTTGTGGGACTACAACTTCTTAGTGGTAGCGTTAAGCAAATAGGTATTAACTGCCGCCCCCTGTAACGCAAATGGAATGTTTTATCTCCACCAAATTTATTTTTTGAAGTAACAACGCTCTAGGCAGAAGGTCCAAGATGGAAGCAAAGCAGAAACGTACCTTCTCTTGATGGTAAGCATTGCTCCCAAGAGAATAATAACAAACATCAGAAGACCAGCTATAACTCCAGCCATTTTCACCGTGCTGTCAACTTGTTTTTCTGGTTCCACTGCATTGGAATTCTGGGTGGAAGCTCCTTAAAAAATTGAGGGAAATAAAAAGAGAATTTGTAGAAAATTTGTGCAGTGATCCACTTTAAATAGTCACTTGAAAGCCTAACAACATATTTGCAATCAAACTGCAACAGACAATTGTCCATCTAACCTAATCTGCCTTTAATAAGGGCTAATGACAGATAATTCAGAGCAGTAACAGGGTGTAAAATCCCAGTGTAATGCAACTAACACTAGTATTTTACCATATTATACTGTCACAGGGAATTTACTCTTCTGAACCACTCAGCATACACCCAGAAGCAGGAGAATTAATAGCAGTTATAATTTTCATCTCAAATAGCTTAAGTGGACGTGCAATCCTTACTCATTGGAATAACGAACGTAAAAGTTTGCAGTAACATATCCCATAATACTACTTGCAGAAACTTCTTTTCTTCTAAAATCAGAACAAATTTGTATTTCTCACTATACTGGAGGCCTGGCTTTTGTAAACATACAGTTACAATTATGCGTGTAACAAGCATTAATCCAATGCATAGAGCACCCTCCGCATCATCTAATGCATTCCATGCCTGTGGCCCAGGCAAGGCAACATGATTTTTGTTTGAAATTTTGGGGTTTTTAAGAGTAAAGCCTACAGACCTAAAAATAAAACATGTTAAGGAACGTTATTTGCACAACATTTCTTCTTTTACTTCCTTGTCGCGATCTGACTTCAAGAGTCTTTTGCCCCTGCAATACCTGAGGACCTTGCAGAATGCTACCCTCTCCCTGTTGCTGGGGCTGCTTGTGTAGGGCTTACTTTAGCTCTGCCGACTTCACTACTTTCTGCACAGAATTTTTCCAGATGTGGCTTAAACCACTGAGCTTGATTTAGAAAGCCCCGCAAGATCTGAGTCATGGCTACTCTAAAGACAAAATGAGCCTATCTTTATTATATTCCCAATACACTTATCTGCTCCTAAAAATATCACCATTGCATTTCATGAAGTTAAATGAATTCATGTTACATGAGATCACAATCTTATCTTGGACTTCACCTTTGCTGTTCGAGTCAGCCAAGTCTTCCTCTACAGTTTAAACACAGTAGGAAAAGGGAATCAAAGGTGAAAAGAGTGCTGTCATCAGAAGACTGTAATGTTTTGCTCTTTTAACAACTCTGTGATGCTGACCTTCAGGAAAAGCTGAATCACTTCTGTTCATGAAGTCAGTTGCTCGGGGAGATAATTGAGTCCATATGTTGGTGAGACAGTAGAAAGCCTCACTGGCTTTCTTTTGCCCATTTACCACAGGTTAAACTGCATATGCTTTTGTCCTGGTTTCAGCTGGGATAGAGTTAGTTTTCTTCTTAGTAGCTGGTAGAGCGCTGTGTTTTGGATTTAGGATGAGAATAATGTTGATAACGCACTGATGTTTTGGTTCTTGCTGAGCAGAGTTTACACTAGTCAAGGACTTTTCAGCTTCTTGTGCTCTGCCAGGTGCATAAGAAGCTGGGAGGAAGCATAGCTAGGACAGCTGACCCAGACTGGCCAAAGGGCTATTCCATACCATGTGACATCATGCTCAGTATATAAGCTGGGGGAAGAAGAAGGAAGGGGGGGACATTGGGCGTGATGGCGTTTGTCTTCCCCAGTAACCGTTACGCGTGATGGAGCCCTGCTTTCCTGAGGATGGCTGAACACCTGCCTGCCGATGGGAAGGAGTGAATGAATTCCTTGCTTTGCTTGCGTGCGCAGCTTTTGCTTTACCCATTAAACTGTCTTTATCTCAACCCGTGAGTTTTCTCACTTTTACTCTTTCGATTCTCTCCCCCATCCCACTGGGGGGGGGGGAGCGAGCGGCTGTGTGGTGCTTAGTTGCTGGCTGGGGTTAAACCACGACAGCTTTAAAAGATCTCTGTCTGCAAGGATGAGTCCCAATGGTTACCACGATCAAATCATATAACTGAATATAGGGCTTTCTGATATGTTCTGAATAGGGCCTTAGCTGATGGGTTTCCAGGGATGAGGATCTAATCTTGAATGAAGTGTAATACTCTCATCATACCTTGAAGAGCACATATAGACCAATGACACAAGGAATGCAAAACAAGAAAACTCACCACATGCAGCGATAAAAGTATGATTTCACTTTTCCTACAGCTAAGCTGATAATCTAGTTTGCCACAGCAAAACTTAATATTTACCAAGCAAAAATGCTGACTATTGGAAACACACATGTAATTTTCAGCTTTTTGTCCCTGACAACTCTGCTGCCCTGCTGCATCCACCAATTTTCCCATTCAGTTAAGAGTTCACTGGCAAGTTCTGTGCACACGTGTCTGAAATGCATTAATGGGACTCCTGGGCGTGAAAATAAAGTAATGTATTGGCTGCATATTACCATCTTTATTTGACATCATCTCTTACAATCTTGGATCAAATCTGCCCAAGAGGTGAGCTATATGCCATCATACAGGCAACCCCAACAATATCACACAACAAAGTAAATGATAAAGGCACAATTTTTCCCTGAAAATTGCTAAAACTCTATTTGTTTAAAGGGAAACTCGGAAGTACCCCAAATTATCCTTCATTTGAGTTGCAGTTACTCCTGTGACCCTAAGTAGTAGGTGTTAGAGAATGGTTTTCTACCACAAACAGCACAGTCAGACCCCCTCCATTTTTGTACCTTCTGAATACCCTCATGAATTGTGAGCCACGTTAAAAAAAATTAAGAACGTGCTGTCAACTCCATCCTCTAATCCACTGGATTGGTCTGATTTTGCCAGGCTGTTGCTTGTTACTACAGGCAACATGTGGTCAGTGTATTTTTATTTGATATTTCTCATCCCATTGTAGACTACTGCAGTTCTAGAAAGAGAATAAAGGCTCATTATCTATCCTGACACCTACACACTGCGGTGACTGATTCACTTGAATCTTCTATGTAACTCTTTCTATCTTGGCGAAGGCCAACAATTCCTTTAGGCTACTAGCCCAACCATTTGTAAGCTGTCGCAGCTAACAATGCCTAGGAATTGACAACATGACAGTGTCGGTAAATTCCTGGGTCTTGGATTCTTAAAGCTTTGCAATGAAATGTTACTGCAAAAGTCCTTCGTGTTTCTGCCGCTCTGGCTTATTTTCTTTGTAGGTGCCTAAATCCACTGTGGTTGCTTGTGCTCCCACCTGCACCACGGCCAGTTGTAGGTAAGGAGAATGTTTCTGTTCTGGCAGAAGGAGGTCTGTGAGCTGGTACTGTTCTTGCAGAAGATGACTTCTGCTGCTCCCGAGAGTAACACTTTTTTTAGAATTCCGTTTTGCTTCTCTCCTTTACCAGCATGCAGGCAGATCTGAAATCCTCTGAGCACAGAAGTCCATAAAAAAACTGCTCAGATGGCCATTTCATACAAATGTCTTTAAATAAACTTGGAAAGCTCTGCACTACTGTACTTGAGGGGCCACCCTTTTGTTTCTAAAAAACAATGTTTATATACTGCTGACGTTAAAGGAAAAGAAAACAAAATATAACCATATTTTCTAGTGGTTACTTCCACCACATTTCCTGGAATAAATTGTTCCTCATAACTGAAGCTGGGTACTGGAATAATAGGATATAGAACAGGTCACCACCATTATTACTGTGTGTATTTCAGTGGCACCCGGAGCCCCCGCTAAGGCCAGGACCCCATTACACTCTACTAGCATGAAGTAGGACAATTTTCTGCCCTAAGCTTACTTTCTTAATAAGGAAGGCAAATGATAGAAGACAGTGCCAGAGAAGTGAAGACTGTAGGTCCCTTGACTCCCTATCTGTGTATTATTTACCAGACCAGGCGACTACTTTCAGAGATATACATTTCTGTACTGTACAAAATGCACTGTCCCAGAAGCTTAACCAGTGGCATGAATCTAACTTCCACATGCATCGTCATTCACCTAGCACTCCATTTTACATTCATAGCTATTTCAAGATTTTAGTCCTTTCCCACCAACCTAATTTACTTTGCTTTTTCAACCCCTTTCAAAATTCCCAGAGATCCAGCATCTTGCAGTGAGGCAGAATACACCACATGCAGCACATTCATGGGAAATACTGTTCTGGCGATGCTGCAGAGATACAAAGAGAGCGGAGCAGGAGCAAACGGGTTCTTTCCCAGAGTCGCCTGCCTCATCAGCCCACGAGAAGTCAGGTTTATGGATCATCAAACACTAATTTTTTTCTTTTTTAGTAATGCACTTACAGGCAGCCAAGGTCTAATCCGGCTGTCCTGCTGTGGATTCATAGATACCTAAATCCCAGACTAGTTCAGTAAGGTGCAACTGCTGGCAGCAATGTTTCATATTGCACCAGCTTCTTGCAGCTTTCAACCTTTTAAATTCCTCCTTGTTTCAGATCATGGTTAAAGCTGGCCCTGCAGAGGCTGATAACTTAAGGACAAGAATTTTGAAATCCAAAATTAATTTCAGTATAGAGGGCTGACATTTGTATTCCAGAGTTAAATCTTTCCAAAGATTTCTTCAGCTCAAAGTGTTTCTGTCCGCAAGGAAGAGATGATGTGATTAGTTAGTTTGAGCTGGGAGATGGCTTGCACGTTATTCCAACAGCCTAAACTCAAGTTTTTGCCAGCCATAACTAAAGGAGAGCCTTCGCAAAATGCTAAGAAAGTGAAAAATCACCCACTTACCAGCAAGCGTTCATACATAGCACTATACACTCCTACAGTGATATTCATATCTGCTTTAAATCCTCTTAATGCTCATGCAAGGTAAGTAATAAATTACGTTATTTACTTTATAGATCTGGAAAGAGTAAGGATATGCCTTTGGCATCACAGGCACCCAACAGCAGAGGTGAGGACTGGCATTTCTGGACTGACACCCTGTGGCAATTCCATCAGACCACGCAACCTCTCACAGATGGGGACGGGGTGGGGGACAGAGGGAGAAACAGCAATGGCAGCTAACTGAAGGATACCATGGCAATCTTTCACCCAGCAATTTATGCACAGATATATCATTTGAAAACAATAAGCCAC